CAGTACCACCAGTACCAGCACTAGCACCAGCATCAGCACGAGCACCTAGACCAGCACCAGTACCATCAGCACCAGCACCTAGACCAGTACCACCAACACCAGCACTAGCACCAGCATCAGCACCAGCACCTAGACCAGCACCAGTACCACCAGCACCAGCACTAGCACCATCAGCACCAGCACCATCAGCACCAGCACCATCAGCATCATCAGCACCATAGTACCAGTAGCTGTAGCGGCAGTGAGTGGCGGAACCCCCGCGGGGTGGGCCGACCCGCTGGGCGCGGCAGCACCACGGGTCTGCCTACCCTGTGGCCGTCAGGCGCCCGCCGGCCTGGACGCCCCGCTGGGCCACGGCAGCGCTGTGCTGTGCTGCCGGGCCGCAGGGGGGCGCCCGTCCCGCGGGACCTGCGAGCTGCAAATGGCGAAGAGCACCACGGCAGGGCACCACCACCGGCACCATCCGCTGGCTCTGGCTGCGAAAGTTGTGAGCAGAGCGAGCCCGGGCCAGGCGGGCCAAAGCAGAGGGCAGCAGCAGCAGAACGCTGCTTGCCAAAGCAGATGGACCAGGCCAGAGGCCGCGCAGGGGAATTGCGGGAGAGAGAGAGATAGAGGCGGGGGAAAATGCAGAGTTTACAGAGCAAAAGGAACATTGAAATCTAAATTGGAAAGTCGGGCGAGCAAGCGGGGCCAAGGTTGCCCTGGCGCACCGCTGCTCTAGCGGCAGGTGAGCTGTGCGGAGCAGCGCCGCCGCCCGCCGGACTCACGACATCCCCCCCGCCCCGTCCCGCGCTGGCCACAAAGGAAGACGCCATCCCCCACCCCATCCCATCCCCCTCCTATTCCAGCGCCGGCAAAGGCAATATTTAATGCCGGTCACGTTGGGAACACGGTTAGTTTTAATCAAAAAGCCGCTAAGTTTGTCCGCGTCCTCGCCCTCCCTCTCACTTACCCCCCTTTCTCCTCACCTCCCTCCTCACCTCCCTCCGCCTCCGCTGCGCACCGCCTTTAATCTGGCGCGCGTCTTTGACTGAGCGGCGCCGGGGGACAGCCCCGAAGGCAACGCCACACTGTTGCACAAACACTGGAATGTGACACTTCATTTTGTTTTTGCATTTATGGTGTTACAACATTTATTTTAAATGTTTCCTAATTATTATTATTTTGTACCTGTTGTTAGTTCTACAATGGTATACGTAACATATTTTTTGTCTGCTTAGCTGCGTGGTTAGTTTTTGTGTTTTATTGTTCATTTTTTATTTGGCATTTAGTAGATTACGTAATAGACAGAGAAGGCCCCTGAGCACTTTTGGGGGGCCACGAAACAAGTTATGCCTAAGCAGCCAACACGGAATAATGGTATACAAGAGAGCGGACACAGAAGTCGGTAAAGACTCCCCTCTTCTGAAAGTGCAAAACTACTTCCTTCGCTCCGAGTCCGGACTAGGGCGGGCGGTGGGGCCCAGAACCCCCTCTTCCCCTTGACCTCCACGCTCCACGGCTATAGCGGCCCATGTGGTGGAAAGGAAGGCTGGTGGCCGGAGGCTGGGGAGTCGTTCTGACCCGCGACTCACTAAAGTTTTCCACCCAGCTTGGCGTGCGGCAGCAGCGTCTGTAGGGTAATGAGCACGGAGCAGCCGTGGGCGCGAGACCCTCATTCTACCCCCTATTCTCTCTCTCTCTCTCTCTCTCTCTCTCTCTCTCTCTCTCTCTCTCTCTCTC